CCTTTTTCATGTAGTCTCTGTTTTTTTCCTTTTTCTTTTTTTTAATTTTAATTTTTGTTCAAGTACAGTTTTCTGCCTTTTACCCCCATCCCAGCCCACCCCCCACAGTTCTCCCCACCTCCCTCCCATTTCCACCCCACCCCACCCCCAGTTTTTGTCCATGTGTCCTTTATACTTGTTCCTGCAAACCCTTCCCCTTTTTCCCTGAAATTCCCTCCCCTCTCCCCTCTGGTCACTGTCAGTCTGTTCTCAATTTCAGTGTCTTTGGTTATATTTTGCTTGTTTGTTTGTTTTGTTGATTAGGTTCCTGTTAAAGGTGAGATCATATGGTATTTGTCTTTCACCGCCTGGCTTATTTCACTTAGCATAATGCTCTCCAGATCGATCCATGCTGTCACAAAGGGTAGGAGCTCCTTCTTTCTCTCTGCTGTGTAGCATTCCATTGTGTAAATGTTCCATAGTTTTTTGATCCATTCATTTACTGATGGGCACCTAGGTTGCTTCCAGCACTTGGCTATTGTAAATTGTGCTGCTATGAACACTGGGGTGCATAGGTTCTTTTGGATTCATGTTTCAGGGTTCTTTGGATATAATCCTAGCAGTGGAATTGCTGGGTCAAAAGGCAGATCCATTTTTAGTTTCTTAGAAAATTCCATACTGTTTTCCATAGTGGTTGTACCAGTCTGCCATCCCACCAACAGTGCCCTAGGGTCCCCTTTTCTCCACAACCTCTCCAATACTTGTTTGTTGATTTGTTTATGATGGCCATTCTGACTGGTGTGAAGTCCCCTTTTGTTAGAGAGAAACCCTGACGAGCTCTTGGATTCATAAAGGGATACAAGCCCTTGGGTTCCTGGTTCCTGGCAGGTTGAGCTCCCCCAGGGTCCACGGAGCTGTTTCCAGGGTCCCCCTGGTGGATTAGGGAGGCACTGCAGACTTTCCCAGGGGAAGCCCTGTAGAGTGCCACTGGCTGTGAAGCCTGGGTTTGCAGCCTGGGGTAAGGGCTGGAGCCTTGTAGCAAGACTGCCCAAGGCTCCGAGGAGATTTCTGGACTGGTTGGGTGTTATTACCGGAATAGCACGCAAAAGACACCCCACCCTAGGTGAATTAGAGACTGTTGATTTTTAAGGGCGAGATCCACTGCTCTTGGCACTGGGAGGTTGCAGTCAGAGCACTTGCCCCAAACAGAGGCCTCCAGGGTTTAGGCCTTTGCAGGGTTTGGCCTGAAGACCAGTGACAGCTTCCATCCTGAGTCATTCATTCCATGAGGCAGGATGCTAGGGGAGAAAGGGCTGTCCCAGGGCCAGGGGCCTTGAGGCAAAGATTCACTGTCCAAACTCAACTCCCCTCACCCAGCAGCCATTGGCTGAAATCCCACCCTTGAGACCCTTTTTAAAAAACTGATTTTAGAGAGGGAGAGAGAGGAACATCAGTTTGTTGTTCCACTTATTTATGCACACACTGGTTGGTTTCACGTGTACCCAGACAGGGGATGGACGATGCTCTAACCGCCTAAGCGACCTACCTGGCCAGGGCCTTTAAAGACCCTTTCTTTTGCCCTTTTTGAAAAGTCTCTTTGAAGTAACTCTTTCAAATAAATAAGAAGTCAATCATTTGTCATGTATTTAATGTGGCAAGTCACTGAGCTAGGCCCCATGGGGACCTGGGAATACAGAAGATGGAGTCCTCACAGTATAAAGTAGGTAGTGATGGGCCACCTAGGGAAGTCTCAGCAAAGCCCAGGCCAGCATGAAGCAGGACAGCCTTTGCACAGGGCCTGCATGGAATGTATGGTGAACGGGGTCGAGAAGGAAGGGGAGGCTTCTTTGGAAGTGGGGTAGCATGGGGAAGAGAGGCCTTAAGTCCTGGAGCAAAGGGTGGGGTGTGTGCAGGGAACAGTGAGTAATCTGGTGTGGCCCAGTACCGCTGAGCATCAGAGAGCCTGGCAGAGGCAAAGCCCAGAGGAGGGTTAGCTCTCTGCCCCATCCCCCACGGGAGGAGGAGCAAGTACCAGTCCAGAGAGGGGGTAGAGGCCAGTTGGGAGCATCCACACTGCCCAGTCACAGCAGGGAGCATGGAGACCCAGGGTCGATGGGCTTGTTTGAGGATTTACTCTGAGATGTAAGTCTGGTGCAGCTTGAAGACAAGACTCATCGGGAGCAAGAAGAGAAGGGTGTCTGACGGGTAGAGGAGAGGCATTTCAAAACCCACAGGGCAGCTGAGAAGGGGCAGCTGAGAAGACAAAAGGTGCCTTCAAAATCTGGGCTGGGACAGGCCCTGAATCAGAACAGAGGGTTTAAAATGCCCCTAGGCCCACAGGTGGGAATATGACACTAAGTAGAAGAGATTTTCTCTCATCTCATATTTGTTTTAATACTTCAGTTTTCAAAGCACATTCACCCACATCATCTCACTGATCTCTCTGCCAGCACTCTGGGCGAAACAGGGCAGGCGTGATTTCCCTTTCACAGAGAGGAAAGCAAAGGCCTGGGTAAGATGAAGTTATAGCTTCTGCTTTATTTTAACCTATTTATTTTAACCATTGGCCTTTTGGGGTTGCATATTTGTTTTTGTTTTAAATTTATATTCTTTTTGCATAGTTCAAATATTCACACAGTTCAAAGTTCAAAAGGTACAGATAAAATTCTCTCTTGTCTCAACTGTTCTCCCAAGTTACCTCCCAGCAGTTTGAACCCAAGCCTTCTGACTGGGTAATGGTGCCCTTTCTGCCACACAGTGGAGGGGCTCAAGGACATGGCCCTTCCCACCCCCTGTAAATTCAGGAAAGCCTAATGCAAATGCCCCTCAGGTAAAGGTGCTATACCTCCTCTTAGCAAGTGTATATATGTACCCTTATGGGACTATTTAACTGTCTCCTTTCATCTTTAAATCCTAAACTCCTTGGAGCCAGGGAGTACGTCTTCAATTTCTGGGTGACAGCAGAGCAGGGGTTAAAATCACAGGCTCCGGCCCACAGAACACGGGGATAAGAACTGTGCTGTGTGAACTTGGGCCAGTTACTCAGGCTCTCTGAGCCTCTGTTTTTGCAACTGTGATAGTTGCGTCCTCACTAATTTCACAGGGCTGTTGAGGGCTGGATAAGATGGCGCATGTCCCGAGTTTGACCCCATGCCAGGGACAGGGACCGAACTCTGTAAGTGGGAACTACTTTCATTCCCAGTGTATCAAGAACCTCTTGTCCGTGCACACAGCACGACAGACCCAGGTACCCTCTCAAAATTCATTCTGACACAGGATTAGGGATCTCAGGCACCTAATTAAAGGCGACTTGGCATCATACTCTACCTAGGCAGGGATCTGCCCATCCTTTTTATGGGAAACCAGCCTCCCAAAGGCCTGGATTGTTGCCATCTCCTTTTCAGGTGAGACCTGGCTTTTCTGGATGGTCAGTCATGTTGAGACCAACAGAAGGGGCTACAGGCCACTGCACCTCTGAGCTTATTGTGTCTATAGTCCTGAGTTTGAAGTGATACAAAAGGTGGCTGCCATGTGGCTTTTCTCAGGGCTGACAAGAATGACTCATCGGAGGGTTACCGATGCCCAGGACAAAGTGACTCACTAGACCTGCCCTTGGGCCTGGCTCTACAGCTGTCTGACCTTTGCCTCTCAGGGAAATATTCTTGGCCCCTGATAATTCTCCACTGAAAACAGGGAGCTTCCCTCCCCTACAGCGCTCTTTGTTAGAAGAGACCCAAGGAATCATTTATTCCAACCCCACCTGACTTCCGGATAAGAAAAGGAGTGCAGTGATGGGACCAGGCTTGCTCCTGCATCTTGCCTGTAGCAGGACGAGGATTCAAACTGGGGTCCAGGGTGCCTTCTGTGCTGCGACAGGCCCCTGCCTCCCTGAGGCTCCTTCCCCACAGGGCACTCACTCACTGTGGCCACGGCTCCAGGGTCTAAACACTCCAAGCAGTGGTTTCCAGGGCCCTTTAAAATCTTGTTTCCAAGAAACGCAAAATGATATCTTGGAACTTGTGGTCTCCATTGACCATAATGTCAATAAACAATGTAAAAATATGTTTACTTTGTCAAAAGAGGCATTCCTTTCCTATCCAACAAGTTTTGTAAAGAAACAAAGATAGCATAGGCCAACAAGGATTAAGGGATAAAGAACTGTCTGGCAGAACAAGGGAGCAATCCTTGACTTTGAGAGCTGGAATCCACACCAGCCTGCGGAGCTGGGACTTGGTGGGAGCACCTTCCCCAGGGAAGTCTGAGCTGGAACCCAAGAGTGAGAAAGAGGGAGGGAAATGGTGGTGATGGCAAGTGCCTGAGAGTCAAACTGGGAAACTGCTGCAGGGTGTCTGTCATTTCCCTAACCCGGCATCACCACCCCCCCCAAACCCCCACAATCACCAGACCCAAGACTTGTGTTGCCCAGAACCTTCGTGTGCTCCAGGAGGAAACTCTGGATCTTCTCCCATCTACCCCACACCAGCCCTTGCTCCAACCTCAGGTCATCCAAAAATTCCCCCTGTTGTTCAGGTGTGATTCATTCATTGATTGTCAGGATTTGAAGAGGCTGGCTTTCGCAGGAGTGTCTGCAATCAGGACTTTGGAGCCTTTGGCACTGCCTCCAGCTGTCCTGCAGTAAAAGTGTGGGTGGGGGGGCGGGAGGAAGGGCCAGTGGAATGCCTGAGAGACAGAGAGGATCATTGAGAGACAGACCTCAGACTAGGAAAAACAGGGGAAGAGCTGTCTTCCCTTCTGGGGAGGAACAAAGTCTCCTTCAGTCTCTCTATAGCCCCCAACCATCCAGAGATGAGATTCTCCTATTCTGTATATGTGGAAACTGAGACCCAAAGTACAAAGCCCAGAGGCAGAGCTGGGCCCAGAAGCCGGGAGTCCTCCTCCCTAACAGCCCCTACTCTGAGGAACCAGAGGAAAAGGACCAGGAACTAGGGCAGGGTAGGTGGGTTTGAAGGCAGGGGAGACCCCATAAGGTCTGGCAGAGTGGCCCTGCAGGCTGATTCAGGCAGGCCTCAGGCACCTCCAGAGCTGCCCCTCAGCCCTGGGAGGGGACTGGGGCCATGGGAGGAAGCAGGCAAGGCAGAGATTCCCAGTCCGGTGAAATACTAGTGAGTCACACTGGGTGGCTCCACAGGCCGGCCCAGCCCACATTCCCGGGTCTTTGTTCCCAGCCATCTGGGCCCAGCCTTAAAGGGCCAGCTCCTAGAAGCAGCAGAGAAGGCCACCCTGCCCATCACCCAACCTGCCACCTCCACCGTCCTCTTGTTGGGTTGCTCCTCATCTCTGGGTAGTGGGGTAAGGGTGACACCCTACGGGATTTGGGGGTTGATCCTGTCAAGTCCTCGGGCTACAAGGGAGGACCCTCAGGTCATTTCAGCAAGCCCTTTGCCTCAGGGCAGGGCTGCACCTAAACTGGCCTAGAAGGATTAAGAAAACTTTCCCTCCCTTTCAAAGCAACTTCTTCCAGGGTTTCACAGTCAGGTCCCTTCTAACCACAATCTCACTTGTGGCAGTTTGTGCTGATTGCCCACTCGGTCCTGGCCCAATCTCAGCACTGGTTTATCCTTGCTGAGACCTTCCATTTAGGTTGGCCTTTCCAGACTTGTGAACCAGGCTGCCTGTCCTGGACCTCCAAGGGGTCCAGGTTTCACACCAAGTCTGACGTGTCCAGGAATTCTTCAGGGGAGAAACATCCTGCCAGTCCAGGGCAGCCCTGGTGCCTGTCACTTCTTTGGATGCCATGCGCCACCATGTGGACATTCTGGAGAACTGGTGCCTTCAGGAGACTGGGCGGTGGTGGGGGCGGGGTAATGGGAGTGAGGGGCGCCTTGCGGAGCCTCCCACCAAGTTATCGACTCTGAAAAAGCATCCTCAGTTGTGAAGCAATCTTTAGCTGGTACAAATGAAAGTGAAAGCAGTCCCTAAATTAGAGAGGGAAGGATGAGGCTCTAAGATCAATTTAACAACAGAATTCTATAAGTTCTAATAAAACTTACAAATAGCAGTATTTTTGTTGAGGCTTGGGGACATCTCTGTGTCCCCCAAGTACCTACTACCTCACACACTATTTGGGTTTAAGGTTATGTCCACTGTTAACATACAGATTTTCAGAAAAGGGATTTTGTTCCTTGAAGCTTTTTAGAGAGAGAGAGGGAAGGGAGGGGGGGAGAGAGAGAGAGAGAGAAACATCAATGTACGATTGCTGGGGGTCATGGCCTGCAACCCAGGAATTTACCCTGGCTGGGAATCGAACCTGGGACACTTTGATTCCCAGCCCGCGCTCAATCCACTGAGCTACGCCAGCCAGGGTTGTTCCTTGAAGCTTTCATAGCAATTTCACAATTTCTGTGATTTTGAACTGAGAGCTGGGTTTGGCAGGAAAAGAGCAAATCTTGAAGGGCGAATTGGAGGGTAGAGCAGGGAGAGGAGTGGGCACGGCCGGCTGGGGAAGCCTGGCTTCCAGGCAGAAGCACTTCGAATTCTGAAGAGACTTGGGGCCGCCCCATGAACTGTCACTTAGTATGTCCTTGGAACCCAGGACAAACCATTGCCAAATGGGCAAGGGGCACAGGCTGTAGCCTTGGGGTCTTTGTGGGCTAGTGGCCTTGGCACCCTGGCCAGCTGGTGCTGAACAAGCCCGGCATCGAGGAGCATCCAGGACCCTCTGAGACGCACCTATCCACCCACCCGACAGACACCCTGTTGCGGGCACCTGCTCGGGTAGCTTCCCTACCGCAGGCTGTAACTTCTCCCGAGGTCCTTCCTTTCTCTCCCTTCCCGTACTCTGGTTCAGTTCCCTATCACCCTGACCCTGAGTCAACGCCATAGCTTTCAACAGAGCTCCTGCCTCTGGGCCCTCCCTGGCCAATCATCCCAAGCAGCACTTCTGCATTAATGTCCCAAAAGTGTACCCAAGTTCTCTTGAGTGGCTGCACATTGCCTGCAGTGCCCAGTCTGAACTTGGCTCACCCCGAGGTCCAACCCACATGCCCTGCATTGTGACTCCCTCTTCTGGAGTTAGTGACTTCTTGAAGATAAGAGCTCTGTTTTACATTTCAAAATCAAATCAAAGCAAATGTAAATTATGCCAATAAATCCTAGCCAGAAAATAAAAAACAAATTCAGAGATTTTGACACACACACACACACACACACACACACACACACACATGCATCTAGACGTGTGTCCATACCTGGGCCTGTGTTTGACCACAGGCGAGTGTAAGCTGGGCTGCATGCAGCCCAGGTCTGAGGGGCTGAGGAGGGGCTGTTTCCTCAGCTCGTGATCCATTCCCATTCACTAAGCTGTGTCCTGCTTCCAGGGGCATCGTTCTGGGAGAGAGGTGCCTTTCTTATTCCACCCAAGACTCCCGCTGTTGTCTTCTGAAAGGCTTTCCTCTCAGAAGAAAACAGTGGCCCTAGGCCATGCCTGGCCCCTGCAAAACGGCAGAAAGTGAGTAACGTACATTTTACAAGCGGCTGAGGCTCCTCCCAGCATTCTTCAGCTGGATGTGTGAAGGTGCGAGGGAAGGGCGACCCTACCCTCTGTAAAATATATATTACATGACATTATTCCAGAGTTCCTTTCAGGCCATAAAACTGAGGGTGGTGTTACCTGCTCCTGGCCAGTTGGAGGAGAGCTTTAAAACCTCACTCTTCTTTCCAGTTCCTCAACTGCTTCCCTCTTGAGCCTCCCAGGTAAGCCTGTGCTTTCTCCCTTACAGCCTGGGAACCCTGACCCCAGCAGAAGCCAGCCCATCAACCTGAACCATTATGCCACCAAGAAGAGCATGGCAGAGAGCATGCTGGATGTGGCTCTCTTCATGTCCAATGCCATGCGGCTGAAGACGGTGCTGGAGCAGGGGCCATCCTCTCAATACTATGTTACCCTCATCACCCTCATCAGCATCTCTCTGCTCCTGCAGGTCATCATTGGAATCCTCCTGGTGGTCATTGGTGAGCCCAGGCCTGGAGTTGGCCTTAGGGCATGCCCCCTAGTGGGAAGATGAGCCCCTGGTGTCTCCCAGCCATGCACTAACCTGGTGTTAGCCCTCTGCACCTACAAATGCCCAAGTACCACCTGCACAGTGATGACAAGCACCCTGCTCTACCTCTTGGTGTTCCCTATGGTGGCCGAACGACAGTCCCCACTAACTCGTAGCTGAGTGCCACACTGCCCTCTGTGTGAGTTCCATCCCCACTCTCAGAAGACCCACTGTAGCTTCCCAAACCCCACCTCTGTGAAGCACCACGTGGTCACCCTCACACTGGTCAGTGAGGGAAGAGCCATCGAGTGCAGCAACACCACCTCCCTAGATTTCTGTCACATGGATCTTGGAGCTGCTGGACTTTTTCTGAACTCCAGTGGGTGTTGTGAGGGAAGCTCCAGGCTGTGGCCCCCACCCTGACTTTTACCTCTCACCCCCACTTCTCCATAGCACGGCTGAACCTCAATGAGGTAGAAAAGCAGTGGCGACTAAACCAGCTCAACAATGCTGCCACCATCTTGGTCTTCATCACTGTTGTCATCAACATCTTCATTACAGCCTTCGGGGCACATAAGACAGGGTTCCTGGCTGCCAGGAGCTCAAGGGACCCTCTCTGAACTCAGCTGGGACCCAGGTGGGGAATGACGGGAGGCCCTCGGGCCCAAAGGCTTTTTCCCACCTCTGAGGGTTTGGGGTAAGAGAGAAATACTCGCCAAGCAAAAGGATAAGGCAGATCTGGGGCAAGGAGGGAGTCTTGGAGAAGAGCTGGATGGGGACTTGGAAAGGCCCTCTGCACTGTTAACAGTGCTTCTTCTTCAGGTTATAGGACCAGGTGTTTCCACAGCCTGAGAGGGGTGGGAGGCAGTGTGGTTAGTGGTTGGCTCTGCCCCTCCAGTAAGAGGCAAGATGGAGAGTTGAGATTTCTTTTTGTGGTCCATGAACCAACAGCAGCAAAAGCCCTTGGGAATTTGCTGGAAATGCAGACTCGCAGGCCCACTCCAGACATACTGAGTCAGCATGTGCGTCTTGAAGGCTGCCAAGGGAATAATCAAGGGCTCGATGGAGTCTGAGAACACTGCCCTCACTGCCTCTTCTCTGTGTCCCCCACAGGTACTGGGCCTGGAGCTGCTTCCACCGCTTCCTCCCTGATCTGCCAGGCTGATGGGCACTTCCTGCAGCTCCCAGGAGTGCCTGAAAAGGCAGTGTTGATGCTTGCTTCCTACCCACAGCACCTGAATGAAGAGGGGGCTGTTATACTGGTCTAAGTGAATTGCATCTTGGTCTAGAGCCTTGAGCTCAGACTGGGGCAGTGCCAACCCTCCCTCCCGTAGCGCCTGCCCCTGAGGCAGTCTGCCTAGGGCCCAGTCCCACCAGCTTTGGGACTCCGGTTCTGACTACTCCATTCCTTCCCTTTGTCCCATCCATTCCCAGGTAAGATGGGATAATTTCTATCTATAAAAGTTTCTGCAACTCTACTGAAGTCATTTTTTATGTCTGTAGTTGCATCTGAGCTGCCGTCTCCATCTGTGTCCTTGGAAGGGTCTGAAGGAGGAGACTCCAAGCCTGGATGGAGAGAAAGCTTTTAGTCACCCGCTCTCCTCTGAGTTGTGCTCCGAGTCAACTTCCAATGCGCCGCACACCTTGGACTAATCACTGTCTGCTACGTCAACGGCAGATTAGTGAATTTTAGAACAACGCATGTACGCACACTCCTTTTCGAGACCCACTGTAAATCTATTCTAGTTTTCATACTAGTGCCTTTTTGGGGGCACGTGTTTAAGCAATAGAAATAAATTTTGATGTATGCCTATACCAAATATAACCAGGGACGTCAATCTGCACCAGTCAAGCATCAACAGGACGTTCTCAGCTCAAGCAGAAAGGAGTTTTGGGTCGTCTGCTTTTTTAGAATAAGCCACACCTCAGCTCCTCTCCACTGTCCACCGAAACCATTTTTGGCCCCATTTCTAGCCGTGTTCACCCAGGGTGTTCACCATCCTCGCTCCACTGAAACCACCCATCTCCACTGATCTGCCAGACAGAAAACGCCCGGTGTAAGGCTCAGACTCTGAGGTCCTCCTGCAGGAACAGCACGGAGGGGGCTGTCTGCCACACGGCTGACACCAGCTAATGGGAAAGGGTGGAGGGTGTTGTGGAAGGGTCCTTGGCACGTGCTTCACAGAGGCCTGATGGTCAAAAGACAAAGACATGAACGCTGGGCCCCTCAGCCCAACCCTCTACCACCATGATGGGTGACAGGAAAACAAGAGCCATTCTGTTTTCTACGAAGATGCTGTATTTAACGCTTTCCCTCCCAGCGTCCCAGTCCCTCCCCCACCCCAGACATTTCCCTACAGGGTAGGAGCCCTCGCCAGGTCCTCCCCCTTAAGGCAGATGGTGTGGAGGTAACAAACATCACACACAAGGCACTGGCCAGGGGCAGAGGGGGTGGTGGGCAGGGCGGGGAGGCTGGGCTGGCTCCTCTTGTCTGGAGACGTGAAGCAGGAGGGCTGTCTGGGCGGGCTCAGGTCTCCCTGGGAAGACCCAACGATGAAGAGTGGCCCCAGAAAAAAACCTAGCACCCCAGCTGGCCAACTGCAGCTCTAGCCTGCTCCCCACAGACCTTCACCAAAGGCAGTCAGTAAGCTGGAGCAGGGACCCTAAAGAGCCACAGCCCTGGGGGCAGGTATGGGCATCCATAAGCCACTGAGTCACTGAGAAGTTCTTGTCCTTCCTGATTTCTTATGACAGAGGCAAAGATTCTCTTCGAGCTCGGGAGTTCTCAGTAGACTCATTCTCCCCCATGCCAAGTTCATGCTCTGGGTGACTACAGAACCCGTCAGGTGGGCTCTCCAAACGCTGTGCCTCAGACTGTCACAGCGTGGAGCCTGGGCCCGCTGCCGACTGACCTCCCTTCCTCACAGCAGGCGGCCCTGTGTTCGCCTCCCTAAACAGCCACTGGAGTCTAGGATCCAGTGTCCAATGCACCACTGGTGAATTCAGCAGCAGCAGCAGAGGCAGCAGCAGCAGTAGAAAAATGCCCAGGTGCAAAGGCACCTGGGGATCATTAGTGCAAGATAAGTGTGTGATCATCAGGTGACGGAAAGGGTGGCCTAGACTACAAAGACCAAGGGCTATTTTCCCTGAACTAGCTTCACTTTTCAGCTCCTCCTGGCCCCTGCTCCCTTCCACTTGGGGAGGAGATGTCAGAACGATGTCCCCACCTCCCCAGAGGTCCCCAGACTTGTCACCCTGCCGCTTCCTACCCTGGTCCCGGTTTTTATGGTTCGGGTTCACCCACCCCTTCCTCTTCTTCCACTCAAGGCCACGGCTGGGGCACTCCCTACAGGAGGGCAAGTCCGGGGGAGCTGTGCTCAGTGGACTCAAGCTTTCCAGTTCCCTTTTCATCCCTTCCTGCTGGACCCTGCTGCTCCTCTCCGTCTAATCATGGTTTACTTTCTCACACCCACATCCTCTTCCTCTCGGCCTCCTCCACCTTGCCTGTCCTGCTTGGCCTAGGTGCCAAACATGAGGACGAGCCCACTGCCCACCGCTTCATCTCCCAACCCTCTGTGGCACCAGGAGGACGATGCCAGTGCTGTGCCTCTGATGGGTCTGAAGCAAGCACTGCACAGAGGGTAAGCTTAATGCCCTGGTTGGTAGCCAGCTGTTTGGTGGCTACCTGGGAGAGATGCGCGTGTCCCTGGAAGGCATGAGCCTGTGGTGGAGCGGAGGAAGTGCTCCTCGCGGGGCCAGCTCCTCTGGTTATAAATCAGCTCTGGGCCCAGGGCCGAGGGACACAGCTCTACACAGGAGTTCGTCTGAGGTATGCAAGTGGGGATGCTCCCAAAAGGCACCACTCCACTCCCCTCTCGCAGTCCATGCTGGGCCTGGACATTTACAGTTTTTCTTTTCTGATTTAAAAATAAAAACCAATGAAAAATGTCCAACCGAAGAGCTTCCCGTTCCTGGTCACTGCTCCGGCTGTGGAGGAGCACCAGGGGGAGGCTGGCACGCACCTCGAGGATCCAGGCGGGTGTCACTCAGGCAGGCCCCTTCCGGACCTAACTGCACAGCCCACCCAGGAGCTGTTCCACCTGTGACTGAGGGAGCTTCCTCCTGGCCCCCCTTCCCCAAATCCTTCCTCTGGAGGCCCAGAGGATGGAGGGGGGCCTTAGCAGCTGTTCCGTGTGAGGGGACAGCTCCTGTGGAGTGGGGGTGTTAGTGCTGAGGCCTCTCTGGGCCCAGCAATGGCTTCTGCTCCCTCCTCACTCCCCCCAGCAGTCAGCAGGCTGCTGAGGGAGCAGCTGCAAGTCAAGGGCAGGAAGTTGTTGGTCCAGCGGGCCACTGCTCAGGATTACGGCATCTTCATCTGGCGGCGATTCCACATGCCTCGCTTGGAATGGAAGTGATGGAAGAAATTCCTGAGGGAGAGACGTTCCACTTCCAGGCCTGCTTGGAGGATCCTGAGTGGGGGAGGGGCAGGATGAGCCGCAGAAGCATGGGAGGCAACTGGGCTTAACAGCCCTGCTCCTGTCTTCCTGCTCACCCCCACAGGGCAGGGGAGCAAGGTGCAGTGCAGAGTGTGGGCTTCGGAGCCAGACAGCCTGGGCCTGAGCCCCAGCTCCACACCGTGTAGGTTATGTTTGTCGTCTCCCAGAGCCTCAGTCTGCTAACCTCTAGGAAGAGGGTACTAACGGTGCGCACCCACTGGAGGGTGGGGTGACGACCAGATGGTAGGCAGGGGCGCGCAGCACGGTTCCTGGCACTCAGCCAGCAGGGGACACATCACAGTGTGTCACAGGGGCAGAGGGCTGAAGCAGACCTTGTCCCTAGCCCTTCTCTGTTCCTTTTCCACATGCACAGCCCACTTAGATTAAAAAATAATAATAATAAAGTAAAATACTAGAGAGGCCTGTACTTTAGGCAGGGTGGAAGTTACTGGAATTTGAAGCAGTTTCCTTCTCCCTGGCCCTCGTAGAGGCAGGAAGGTTGAGAACTGAACCAGAGGCTGCCTCTTCCCAGCCCGGCAGGAAGACCACGGGCGGAGGTGACACTGGGCCCAGCTTCTGTCCACTTTGGGAATCTACTTGGATCTGGCTAATCTCATATAAGCTCCCTCAACCTCCCTCTTTTGCACCTTCAATTCTCTTAGTATCATCATTTTCCTTTCCTTTCTTCCCTCTAAGGAGAAAATATAAACATATCCAGTTTTTAAGCCTCTGATACTTACTAGCTGTGAGATTTGGGGCAAGTTATTAACTTCTCAAGACTCACTTTTCTCATTTGGAGGTTTGGGGAGGAACAAACGAGGGAGTGGGTGTGAACCACCCACCGGCACAGAGGTGCAGTGATGGGCGGCTGCGTCTCTCAGAAAGAAGTGTCTCTCTCCCTTGTCAAGGTCCCCACTGTCCTGCCGCCCCTGACCTTGCCCTGTCCACTTCCCCTGGACACAGTTCCAATGATTCTACCCTTTCTTTCTTGGATTCCCCCGGCCCTCTCTCCTTTACCCCTGCCCCTCAGGCTCAACTCTCAAAGTACCATCCTCTTTCTCTCTCCTCTTGGCGGCAAATTTCTTGAAAGAGGAATCTCATACTAACACAGCCTCCACGTCCTCACCACCCTCGAGTTCTACAACCCCCTACAACCTGGGGTCCCAGCCCAGCCAGCTCCCTGCCCTGTCCTTCTCCTCTTCCCTGAAACTCCCTTCTCCCCAGGCTGCCGGGGACCCAGAACCTCCCAGGTGGCTTGTTGCTCTTTAATGCTCCACACGACCTCCCTTGCTGGCCCCAAAGTCTGTCCCGACCCGTTGGCCTGTCTCTCTTACCCATGCCACAACTTCAGCCCCCTCCCGCAGGCACCTTCACCCTGGAGGAGGAAGCCATGTGCTCCCACTGCGACTTGTCTGCTGATCAGAACATTATCACTTACATCTGTACTGATCTATTTTACTTTTCCCCTGACAGTTTACCAAGCACTTTCCACACCAGCCCAGTGACAGAGACAGAGGCAGCATCTTCCTCTTTTAACAGGGAGAGAAACGGAGTCTCAGCAGGGGCAGTAAGTGGCAGAGCTTCCTCTGAGTTCAGTGCCTTCGCCTGCTTTAGGGGAACCAGCAGCCTGGGTCCCGGATGCTCTCGCCCCGTGCCTCCCCCTCACCGGAGTGCCCGATGGACAGAATTCCAGCACACCCCTCAGATGCCCCCCTTCCCCAGTCACCTGTCCAGCAGCTCCCAGTCTTCCCCACCCCAGCGGTCTCGGAACTCCTTGGTGTTCATGCCCCCGATCCTGGCCAGGTCTGACTTGTAGATGCCAAGCAGCCCAAATCCATTCACCTCCCAGTAGCCTGTGGACAAGAAGCTCCAGGTGAGGTGAGCCAGGGCCAGGAGAAAGTAACAAAGATGTCCTCCAGGTGACAACCTTAGAGTCTTTTCTGAAAGACGGGTGATGGGGTGCCTGTAGCTGAAAACTGTCTCATCTGGGCAAGTCCCTTGCCTATTTTGAGGGGTAGCCCCTTGAGCTAAGGTCCAGGGTCCAGTGAAAGCAGGAGTCCTACCAAGCAGTGACCAAGGCTACGG